ACTATAGTCCTAAAAGGTACATGCACCCTTATGTTCACAGCAGCACTATTCACAATAGCCAAGACATGGAAGCAACCTACGTGTCCATCGACAGATGAATGGATAAAGAAGATGTGGTAAATATATACAATGGAGTATTACTCAGCCATAAAAAAGAATGAAATAATGCCATTTGCAGCTACATGGATGCAACTAGAGCTTATCATACTAAGTGAAGTAAGTCAGACAAAGACAAATACCATATGATATCCCTTATGTGTGGAATTAAAGTATGACCCAAATGAACTTATTTTCAAAACAAATAAACTCAGACACAGAGAACAGATTTGTGGTTGCTGGGGCGGGGCGGGGGGGGGAGGGAGTTGGGGGGTGGAGGAGGGACGGAGTGGGAGTGTGGGGTTAGCAGATGCAAACTATTACATACAGAATGGATAAACAACAAGGTCCTACTGTAGAGCACAGGGAACTATGTTCAGTATCAAGAATATGAAGGTTACATATATATATACATACATATATATATATATATAAAACTGGATCACTTTGCTATACAGCAGAAATTAACACAACATTGTAAATCAACTATGCTTCAATAAAATAAAAAGAGTGCGCCCTGTACTGGAGAGGTGAAGAAACTCATCGTTACAGGACTGTAGCAGCTCGCGGAAAAAAGACGTTATCACGTCCACTGAATTTCTGATTGGCAGGCGTTCCTTCCCGTGTCTGGTGCGAGAAATTGCTCAGAACTTCCAAACAGATCTGCACTTTCAGAGTGCAGCTATCTGTGCTTTGAGAGAGGCCAGCAAAGCCCGTCTGGTTGTCTTTTTGGAAGACACCAGCCTGTGTGCGATCCATGCCCAATGTGTAATAGTTAGGCCAAGGGACACCCAGCCAGCATGCTGTTTACACCAAGAACATGCTTAAGATGACTCAGATGGGAAACCTTTCATTGTTTAAAAGAAGTTCTCTTCTTTGATAGTTCTGAACGTTAGGTTTTTTGCCCGCCGATGGACGCCAAAGGTACCTAAGTGTTTGATTGCTGAGTGGAAAAATAGGGGGCAGAAATCAGGGATTGGCAGTTTTTCCAGTTTCATTTTGTATGTGCATTTTTAATGTAAAAGCAGAGACAGTAATTCAGGTCATAATGTTTCAGCAAACAAGCTTCAGAAGTTGAATTTTATAAAAATTATAAATAAACCTGTTAAAATATTCTGGATAATTCCAGCGTTTGGATTTTCTTAAAGCAAGTAAATTTCTTTTTTAAAAAATATTTATTGAAATATAGTTGATTTGCAGTGTTGTGTTAGTTTCAGGTGTACAGCACAGTGATACATATATACATATATGTATCTCTATTCTTTTTTAGATTCTTTTCCATTATAGATTATTACAAGATATTGAGTATAGCTATAAAGTAGGACCTTGTTGTTTACCTATTTTATATATAGTAATGTGTATCTATTAATACCAAACTCCTAATTTATCCCCCCCCCTTTCCCCTTTGGTAACCATAGTTTTGTTTTCTAGGTCTGTGAGTCTATTTCTGTTTTGTAAATAAGTTCGTTTGTATCCTTTTTTTAGATTCCATATAAAGCGATATCATATGATATTTAAAACAAGTAAATTTCCAGCTGACGGCAACTAAATGGTCTTTGCAGCGTTTTAATCGTACGGTAGATTCCATCCATTCACGACACTTTTCTGAGTTGCTTTACATACCTGTGTTTAGTGGTTTGTGTCTTCTGTACTGTTCCTGCAAGTTTGTTATTAAAATAAATTAAGCTATAAAAAAAGTCTAGGAATAATTTCAGTTTCTTTAGGCATCCAGATTTGCTGTGTTCGCCGTCACAGTGATGTTATGATCTCGGGGATGTAAGTGAGCTTTGCATTTCTGGTTCCTTGGGATACATCTCGGGCGTATGAGTAGTTTGAAGGATTTGGGGTTACACACACACACACACACACACACACAGCATTTCCTTGCCAAATGGAACTTAAATGAAGTTTCTGGAAAACACAAAATTATTCCGTTAGTATGATAAACTCTCTAGGGATATCATATTCATTAAACTGACTTGGATTGTAATTCCTGGTACGTACCGGTGAAGTGAGAATAGAAATTGAATCTGCTTTCACTTCTAAGCTCATTAGCAGTAACAGGACACGCCTGCAGACACTGCATTCGTAAAATGTGCTCACACCCTCATCTGCCTCTATCTTTTTTTTTTTGTTTTTTTTTGCGTTACGCGGGCCTCTCACTGCTGTGGCCTCTCCCGCTGCGGAGCACAGGCTCCGGACGCGCAGGCTCAGCGGCCATGGCTCACGGGCCCAGCCGCTCCGCGGCACGTGGGATCTTCCCGGACCGGGGCACGAACCCGCGTCCCCTGCGTCAGCAGGCGGACTCTCAACCACTGCGCCACCAGGGAAGCCCTGCCTCTATCTTTGAAGACACGTTTAGAAACTTGTCTTACACGTGCATAAATTTAAGAATATTTTGTCAGTTACTTTAAAATTGTTTTCATTGTTAACAACACCATCGGAGGGGTGGTGCAGGGCACAACCAGTCTATGGATCGTTTCACTGAAGAGTTTGCAGGTGGATGAACCAGGTGTGATGAATATATTCTGCAGCTCCGTCCTAACTAGGCTCACGGGGACGCTGTGACAGACGGAAAAGTATCCCTTAAGATCCTCCTGGTACCTCAGTAAGTAAATTGACCTGAGAAGAGCTCATTGTGCGCAAAGAGTGTTGTAGTGTGGCCTCTGATGGTTGGGAATAAGGTGTGCTCCTCCGTGGGTACGATGATCACCTTCCGGTGTCCAGGTGTCTTTCTCTTGCTGAGAAGTGTGGCAGTGCCACTGGGAAAGTACACATTTGAGATTAAGTGTGTATGTATTTTTGTGTTAGTGGTGCAGTCTGCAGATTCCATTCTTCTTCTTTTCTGTTTTCTTCTACTACTTGTATAGCAGTTACTGTGTCTCAGAAATCGCTGTAAGCGCTGAACGTGTTTCTCATTTTATGAGATGAAGAACCCAAGGCCCAGAGACGTCCATTAATGTATGCACGGCCATGTGACTAGTGACTGGTTTTGGGGGGATTTCACCCAGGTGATCTGTCTCCAGAGCCCCTCTCAGCCTGTACCGCCTCTCTTTCTGGCCTCTGGATATCTACATACAAGTTTGCTTAAAAACACATGGCGTCAAAAATGTTGGTATAGCGGATCAGCTTGAAAACACTGCTCTTAAATTTTGCATTAGTTCAACAAACATATTGACCACCAGGGATGCGATAGGACAAAACACGGTGCCTGTCGCAAAGGACACATTTCCTCCAGATGTGAAGTAGGAGTGAAATGCAGACTCGAGCATGTTAGATTGTAACTAATTAAAAAGTTGGACTTGGCTTTTTAATTAATTTATTTATTTTTTAGTTTTGGCTGGGTTGTGTCTTCGTTGCTACGTGCGGGCTTTGCTCTAGTTGCGGTGAGCGGGGGCTACTCTTCGTTGCGGTGCGCCGGCTTCTCGTTGCGGTGGCCTCTCTTGTTGCGGAGCATAGGTTCTTGGCGCATGGGCTTCAGTAGTTGTGGCTCGCGGGCTCTAGAGCGCAGGCTCAGTAGTTGTGGTGCACGGGCTTAGTTGCTCCGCGGCGTGTGGGATCTTCCCGGACAAGGGATCGAACCCGTGTCCCATGCGTTGGCAGGCGGATTCTTAACCACTGTGCCACCAGGGAAGACCTGGACTTGGCTTTTTAAAACTTGAAATATAATTCATATGCCATAAAATGCACCATTTTAAAGTATATAATCCAGTGGTTTTTAGTATAGTCACAGAGTGTTGCTACTATCACTCCTATCTAATTCTGGAACATCTTCATCACCCCCTCAAAAATCCCATACTCATTAGCAGTCACTCCCCGTTCTCCCCACCCCCAGTCCCTAGCAACTACTAACCTACTTTCTTTCTCTATGGAATTGTCTATTCTGGACATTTCACATTAAAGAGAGCCACAATTTATGGCCTTTTGGGTCTGGCTTCTTTCACTTAGCATCATGTTTTCAAGGTTCATCCACATTGTAGCATAAATCAGTACTTCATTCCTTTTTGTGGCTGAATAATATTTCATTGTATGGACAGACCACATTTTTTTCCCCATGTATCAGCTCATGGATGTGCCCTTGGCTTTAAAATTGTGTGTCTGGGAAGGCTCCCTGTTAAAAATAAAATTTTAATGTGGTCAGATCCTTTGTCTTAGATGTACCAAGGGTTCCAACTCCTTCTGCCTCAAAGATTTTATGACAAAATCCACCACTGTAATGAACCAGACAGTCCTTCCAGTGAAGTGCTGTGTTGTCCGATTTTCCCTTGACTATAAATGACTTCTGTTTCAAGACCTTGAGTTGGGTGGACGGCTCTTGCGCTTTTGTACCTGGGGCTTCACCAGGCTCTTATCTTACAGGCCAGACAGGAAACAGGGATATAGTTGTCCCCCTGTATCTGTGGGTTCTGCATTTGCGGATTCAACCAACCATGGATTGAAAATATTCAGAAAAAAAATTCCAGAAAGTTCCAAAAAGCAGAACTTGAATTTGCTGTGCATTGGCAACTATTCCATTGCATTTATATTATATTAGTATTGTAAGTAATCTAGAGGGATTTAAAGTATACAGGAGGATGTGCGTAGGTTATATGCAGGCACTACACCATCTTATATAAGGGACTTGAGCATCTGTGGATTTCAGTATCTGAAGGGGTCCTGGCACCAACCCCCTGTGGGACGACTGAGGGACGACTCTCTATGTATATTTCTTTAAACTTTCTCTCAAGTCCTTCTCTTTCCTTTATTACTTTGTAGTAGCTGGACTCGGGGGTATTATTTCCTATTTGATTTGTTTTTTCCCTTTCTGAATTGTTAGGTTTGGCTCTCTTGCCATAATCTGCAATTCTCTTGAGACTTAGATTCACTTCCGGCTTTTCCTAAAACCCATCTTTGTCTCTTTTCAGGTTGATCCAGTGTTCACAAGGGAAGTAAAAGCCAAAGTAAAGAGGTAAGTATAGGTGTTTTGCAGGAGAGGAAACCTAGTGACCGATATATGATCCCAGTTCCCAAGCACTCACCGTGTTCCAGGCTCTGTTCCCAGCAGTTTACTAATAATTCCTCCTTTAATCGCCTGTGCGATTAGGGTGATCCTGTGCCATCCTAGGCGCTATGATTTTCCCCGTTTACAAGCCAGGAAGCTCATATCCTGGAAGCATCAGCAGTTCCCTAAGGGGTGGCAGCATGGACACACGTGTGAAGACGTGCAGCCTCAGTAGGTCAGGAAATTCCCAGGAAACCCACTTTGAGGTTACAGTTGTCACTGATCACATTGGCCAAAACTGAAAAGACTTAAAACATCTGCTGGTGACGGTGAAAATTGCCGTCACCCCTTTAGAGGGCAGTTTGTCAGAGTCTTTGTTATCAATTGCATTTGTCTGCCAGTAACCTGATAACACTGGCTTACACACCCTGGCGCTTAACTGCTCACATAAAAAAAATCTGAGGTCGTTGGTCCAGGACCAAGTAAGACTTCAGCTCCTGTCTTGCTGTCCTGCGGTCCCTACCTGTGGCTTCCATCCCTAAGGTGACAGTGGCTGTAGAACTCACGCATCACATTCCGAATTTTAAGTGGGGAGATGGGGAAGGGCAAGAGCCAGAAGGGTTACCTCCCATTTGGGTCAGCCCCTTTTTATGTGAATTTCCTCACACCCCCAGGATTCCAGCTCCTCTCACTGGCCACACCATCACCCCAGGGGACTGGGAAACTGATTTCATCCCCATATGCAATCAGCTGTCTTTACGTTGCTCATAGATACAGAATGCATGTATGTGAAAGTATAACCAATTATGTGAAAGGATAACCTCAAAATCCTGAGAATGGTGGAGAGGGGTAGGGGATGGAGAAGAATGTCCATATTCTTGGGTGAAAAAAAAAAGAAAACAAAACAAAACCTATGTGACAAAGTGCTGGGAACCTGGGTATTGGTTGAGTTTCTTTATTTTACTATTTCTCTCTGTTTATGATACATCTATGATTCTCTTTCTGTGTATCTTTAAAAAAGAATTTGAAGAAAGGTTGCATTATTAGGAAAGGTTTGTTTTCTAAATCATTCAGAGAAAAATGGCAAGAGCTGTATCTCTGACGTCCAGTATCTGAGAAGCACGTGTCTCCTTGGTCAGAGGGCTTCAGAATGACGGCGGGTGTGTTCACAGGCTTCCTCTCTCTCTTATCAGGGATGGATGTAGAATAGATTCTCACTCCAGTATGGTTTTCTGTATTGAATCCTTTAGCAGTAATGCTTCCCTGTGGATCTAGGGGATTTCTCCAAAATCGTCGTCTCCCCTTCTCCCAGACCCTCCCCGTAAGATTCCCAGCCGTAAGCTCTCTCTCTGCTCCGTGTCGTTCCAGGACCCCTGGGGTACGATTGATCGGGGAGATGGCTCGGGAAGACCTCCACGCGGTCGTGAAGAATTGCTTCGCGGTGGTGAATAGCTCTGTCTCTGAAGGCATGTCAGCCGCAATCCTGGAGGTAATGATCTAATGGGTACTGAAAGTGGAAATATGAAATTGTCCATCACCCCTTTTCTCAGTTATGGAGGCGATGCCTTTGTCAATAAAATTGTGCGCTTCTCAAAGCTAACAAAGTGAAACGGCATTTCCTCGGGAGTTCTAAAGTAGTTTTTAAGTTCTGTCTGGGGCTTAAGAATACTATTTTCTTTCTCCTTGCCATTTTTCCTTGCCAGCTACAAAATGAAATAAAACTAGGATAGTGTCGCCTCTCTGACTCGCCACTTAGCTTCAACGGGAAGGCGGCTGAGGCTATGATGGGTCGGGACAGGATGTGGGGTGAAGGTGTGTTTTGTAGGGAGCCTCCTTTTGTCTTGATGTCTCCTCCCTCTTTTCAGTGTGTCCTATGATCCCAGAATTTAGGGGATAAGAAAGGGTTGGGCTTGGATTTCCCTGGCGGTCCGGTGGTTAAGACTCTGTGCTTCCACTGCAGGGGGCACGAGTTCGATCCCTGGTTGGGGAACAAAGATCCCACAGGCACTGGCGCAGCCAAAGAACAAAAGAAAGAAAGGGTTGGGCTTGTGCACATGGCAGGGGTGGGGCTTCGTACACGGAGAAGAGTAGTTGCAGATGCACAAGGCAGTGGGGGTGAGTGTGGACCTCATCTCTCTGTCTGGTGTTCGGCTCTGAAAATCTCTTACACTACTTGGGCTAAGTGTGCACAGCCCAGCACAACCGTGCAGTCTGTTGCTGGAGTTATCTGTGTTTTGCAGGGAGAGGCTGAGATAAAAAGCCCCTGCACTTGATCCTGGCAGCCTCTGGATTGAGTGTATCGGCTCCTGGGTTAGAGGGACTTAATCCAACCTCACAGCCCTTTGCAATCTCTTCTCCTCACTGAGCGTTTTATGTGATGGGGTGTATTACCAGGATCTCTTAAACTGCTTCATGCTGACGACCTGAGTAATCCCCAGCGTGCCTCTAATGCAAAAGGATTTTCCTTTCCCTTATTTTGCTGTCGGTTCACAGCACACTGGGTTCCTTTTCAAGAGTGATCCTGGCAAAGAGGAGACTCCGTCCCTCCCGTCATAACCAGCATCCAGTGCTGGATTTTCTTCATATCATTAAATCACAAGCCATCCCTCGCATGGCGTCTCCTTTAGTTCTCACACAATAGATGCCTTGTTAAGTCCTTGTGGTTAGCGCATGATAAAACTTGCTGTAGAAACAGAAACGTTTGGTGATTGGCCCTCCAGGTCTTTAAATCGCGTCTCACATCCCCTTTCTCACGGTGCTAGTTTCTTACTTCAGGGTCTACTTAGAGCGATGCTATTATTTTATCCTAAGTATTTGTAACATCCATTTATTCCTTTGGATGCTAGTTGAATTTACCAGCCAAAGTTACACTTTGTGAATTTCAGTGTTTCAGAGACCCTGGTAAATAGTTAAAGCAGGAAAAAAAATCATGCTCCCTAAATTTAAGAAATGACTGATGTCCATGTGTAATATTTTCTGTGAATGTGGCATCATTTAAAAAAGCAAACAAAGAAGACCAGAAACAAAATACTGTGGGCGGGGGTGGTATATCCTGATGCCTGTAATTCCGGTGTTGAGAAGCTTTCAAAGCACAGAGCTTGGATTGGTACCATGTTCATCTTCAGCCAGATGTTTGAATACCTCAGTCTAAGCCTAACGGTTAGCATTAGTCTCCGTTGTGGTTTAGAATCAGCTTTGGACTAGAGCCACTCTCCCTGTTAGCTTTAAAAATGTCTGTTCTTACAGTACCACGTCCTCAAGCCATTGCCGGATCGCTCCTTTGTATGTAAATACACATTTTTTTTCTCCCCCAACTTCTTCAGAAAAGGTAAAGTGGAATTCGGGAATGATTTTCTAAGCAGCGCACACAGCAGTTCACTGCAGATGAGTTGCTGTCAAATTTCATTTACTTCAAAGGAAAGGCAGCTGTTAGCAATTCCGTCTGCCTTCAAATGTGGATACTGTGTTCCTTTTGAAAATTCCAAAATAACCTTTGGGCTGAGGGTTTTGAATGAAACTGATTTTAGAGGAGTCGTGTGGAGGGTGGATTTCATTAGAATCAATTCAAAGAACCAAAGTGGTTAATCACAGAATAAGTGCATATCACTTTTGAAGGAAGGGATCCTTTGACCTTTCAGAATTAACTTTGTTTTGTCATGGAAGCATGTAAAAATCCATTTGCTATGACACACTTCTTTTCTTTTGCTGATAAACTCCAAAAATCAAGCGTTAGCTGGACGCCTGGGCAGTAGAGTGGACATCCCTGCAACGAATCTGTGGTTTCAAGTTTGGGCTTATGATGGAGTTGAACTCTACACAGAATTAGAAGAACACAAAAAATTATTATTATTAATTTTTGTTTTGTTTTGGCCGTGCGGCATGCGGGATCTTAGTTCCCCGACCAGGGATCGAATCTGGGCCCCCTGCAGTGGAAGCGCGGAGTCCTGACCACTGGACTGCCGGGGAAGTCCCAGAAAGTTATTTGCTTATCCCACACTTCCTCACTGGGCTGTCCTCCCTGCCCTGGAGCACACACACACACACACACACACACACACAACCTCCAGGTCGAAGTTTTCACTGCCCAGAGGAGAGGAAGGCATCTTCTAAAGCAAAGAGCAGGAAAAAGGTAATTCTTGGGCTCTTAGCTTCCAGGCCCAGGACCTAGTGATGAAAGGTTCATTTCAGGGCTTTTCAAGGATAACTGTGACCCTGTGTCATTTGACCTTGGCTAATTTCAAAAGTGTGTAGGGCAGACCTGTGCCCTTCCCACTTTTAAAACGGGAGGGCTTTTGGAGTTGTCACAACTAGGAGGCTGCTACTTGCAGTTAGTTTGGCGTGGAGGGAGTGCAGACAGGCAAAGTATTTTTCAATGTGCAAGACAGTCTTTGCGTCAAAGGTGTGTCCGCAAGATGCCATTGGCGTCCCCATCAAGAAGCGCTCTAAACTCCATGGTGTCAGATCCGAACGCACTGTGCATGCACATCAGTGGGGCACTCGGACCAGCCGCATCCCCACGTGACAAGCAGTGATCACGGTGCTGGACATATGCCCAGTTAAGGCCACTGAAATGCACGCAGACCTGTCTGCAAGGAAATCTGGACCCCAGAGGTTTCAACCTAGGGTGTGCATCAGAATTCCCTCTGAAGCTTAAAAAACCATCGGTATGCATAACGGCGCCCTGCAAAAGCTCTCTTGGCTGTGCTGACGCGGAGCCCTGGCGGCCGTGCTTCCAAAGGCTCTTCTGCATGTAGACTGGGGGCCGTGTCTCTGGAAACCTCTGTTAACCCCGCTGAAGACGGTGCACCAGCGACAGAGCTTTTTAAAAAGGTCAGATAGGAAGCTTCCACCTACCTGCTGGAGGGTTGAAGAGCTCATCAGGGGGCAAGAGAAATTCAGTGACTGCAAACTCGACCGGCTGTTAGGTGCCCCTTCAGCCCTGATGTTTCCTCTTTTTTGTCCCAAAACGGGGCCCCAGATTCCAGGTTTGAGCGACTCTCTGCTCCAAGCCCCACCCCCTCCACTGCCCCTTTCCCTCCACTGTCACGACCAGAAGGGGTTCAGAGGGCGAGCTCGCCCATCTCCAAACACCATCTCACCCGAGACATTGCCAGGCCCGGTTCTCGTCAGGACCAGCGTCACAGCACTGCTGTGTTCCAGGACTTTGCCTTTCCTGCAGACACAGTTTGTTTTGAAAGAGGTGACTTCGCACCTGAAGAAAGTGACTTGTGAATCAACCATCTGATTCCTTAATGCCATGTCTTGGCTCTATGAAAATAGCATTTCCACATGCTTACTTATTCTTAAGATGCCTCCTTTCTTTGTTTCTCTTTTTTCTTTTGTTGGCGTATAGTTGATTTACAATATTTTGTTAGTTTTAGGTGTACAGCAAAGTGATTCAGTTATACATATGTATATCTATGTATCTATATTCTTTTTTTCTGATTCTTTTCTATTATACGTTATTACAAGATATTGAATATAGTTCCCTGTGCTATACGGTAAATCCTTGCTGTTTATCAAGACGTCTCCTTTCTTAAAGACAGTTTATTTTTAAGAGGGGGCTTTGAAATTAGTTTTCTCTGAATATACAGCTTTCAGAGAACATTTAAGTATCATCTTCCTCCACCCAGCTCACAACTTCAAGACTCAGATCGTATTTTTCTCTCTTTTTTTTTTTTTTTTTTTTTTGCGGTACGCAGGCCTCTCACTGTTGTGGCCTCTCCCGTTGCGGAGCACAGGCTCCGGATGCGCAGGCCCAGTGGCCATGGCTCACGGGCCCAGCCGCTCCGCGGCATGTGGGATCCTTCCGGACCGGGGCACAAACCCGTATCCCCTGCATCGGCAGGCGGACCCTCAACCACTGCGCCACCAGGGTAGCCCTCTCTTTCTTCTTGATGTATAGTTGATGTACCTTGTAAGTTTCAGATGTTCACCATAGTGATTCACAATTTTTAAAGGTTATACTCCATTAATAGTTATTATAAAATATTGGCTATATGCCCTGTGCTGTACAGTATATCCTAGTAGCTTATTTATTTTATATGTAGTAGTTTGTACCTCTTAAGCCCCTACCCCTATCTTTCCCCTCCCCCTTCCCTCTCCCCACTGGTGACCACTACTTTGTTCTCTGTATCTGTGAGTCTGCTTCTTCTTTGTTTGTTTTTTTTTGGGGGGGGGATTCCACATATCAGTGATTTCACACAGTATTTGTCTTTCTCTTTCTGACTTATTTCACTTAGCGTCACGCCCTCCAAGTTCATCCATGTCGTTGCAAATGGCAGCATTTCCAGATTGAATTTCATTCTTTCCGCTGAACTGCAGTTTTCCTTGAAGGCAAGGAGCATGTCCTCTGCAACCTTGAACCCTCCCCCAATAATCAATAATCAATAAATATTCATTGGATTGAGCAAAGCTGAACTACTATACGGTATCACCTTTTTGACTCGCCTTTAACCAGCTGGTCTCATCGCCCAAACCTCCTGTGTCTTGCCCTTTGCAGGTTGATGATTATTTGTTGAGTGAGGGACAAGGAATGGGTGATCTCACTGGCCCACGGCCTTACTTGTGTGTTGGGTACTTGGTGTGCTCTGGTTGATATACAAGTAAGTCTATACTACAGGAGGAATGATGGGATCTTTTTTATTTTTTGCTGAAACGGGGATATAAACTCTGTCCTCCCTCAGGATCGGCCGGTTCTGAGATTCTCTGATGGCCAGTTTTATAGATCTACACTTACATCTTCATATCTGTACTTATAGAATCTCCTCTCAGTCTGTGTGTCTGCCACAGTTTCTCTAAAATGCACCGGTGCTTAACGACATCAGTGGATAAATGTACCATTTGGATTGGAAGATGCTCCAGGGCCCAGCTGGGACAGGGAACAATGAGAACAGAGCTAGCCGTGTGCCCTGACGTGTGGGATCAGCCTCTAGCGAGCCTCCCCTCATCCCCTCATCGGTGGGATGAGATGGGACAGTCTGGAAGGTCTCAGCTACGTGGAGGATTCTGCAGTCCCTTGACAGATGCCTAGAAATGGAATCACAGTGGGTCATGCCAGCCGTCCCTTGACAGATGCCTAGAAATGGAATCACAGTGGGCCATGCCAGTTTGATGAGCTAATGACCTGAACAGGGTGACGAGCAGGGAAAGGAGCCATCAGACCTCATGTCGTCTCACTCACCTTGACTATATTACGACCCTGTAACTTACATAGTCAACGTCAGCTTAAGCCATCAACCACCTAAGGGGTATTTGTGCAGAATGACATCTGAAATGTTCATTTATTCTGGAAAGTTTAGCCCCTCATTCCCAAATGATGAAACTGGAGCCCAGGAAGACGTCGGGTGCCGGGTGTCGAACTTCGACTCCATCTCCCCAGAGTGACTGATGAGCAACGAATCTGAGACCCGCCACGTTAGTCGAGGGCAAAGCCTCCACCAGGGCAAGACCAAGGTCTCACAAGTCCTGGCTTGTGCCCTTCTCCAAAAGACCAGATTGCACCCACGGTACGTCAGAACCCAGGGTCCGACCAGTGGGTTCATAAAGCACCTGTGACCCTAATGTCGAGATGTGGCCGTTTGGGGTGACTTTTTGCCTGTGCTGCTGAGTTTCTTTGTTCCTGAATGTAGTGACAGTGGAAGGTCCCGATTTTTACCCTACAAGATGAGAGCGGAATATCACGACTTGGAGACTTTCTGTGACCATGAAAGGCCACCATGAGAGGCTGTCGCGGTGCTGGGGAGGGGACTCTGAAGCTGGGGGCAAGCGGGAGGGCTCCAGTCCGAGCAGCCAGCCAGCTCCACTGCCGTCCCCGGTGGTGGGAACAGCACAGTCTCCGGGGGGCAGAAAGGAGGGCTGTCCTCTCCTCCGACCTTATGCAGGGCCTGGATCTCAAACTCAACGTGTACTGGGAAGATACAGGCGACACAGAACCAGAAAACCAGGTGAGCTCACCAAGAAAACTGCTGACGAGAGAAGATGATCCTAGTGTGAACCATTGACTTATGATTAATTTACGTTCAGATGCTTCTGGAACTTTTGATCCACAAGCATTGGTTGAGCTCTTAACTATGTGTCACACATGGCTCCGGGCACTTGGGCGTTGGTGGCGTTTGTGCCGTGTGAAGCCCTTGGTGTCAGAGCTTCCCATGGCAATATACTAAGCGGCTGAGATTGGGGAACTTTACCTTTCTGAAAACCGAATGTCACCCCTTCGTGACCAAATTGTTTATTACGTGAAATGAGACACCGCCTGCCGAATTGGAGTGCCTAAAACATCCTTGTGTATAGTAAGAGCCGGAATATTGGTTTGCTGATAGCACCCCCTCAGGGCTGCTTCTGGACACCAAGGTGTGAAGGGATGTCCCTCTCACCTGCTGAAAGGCACCTGTCACATGAAAGCTGGGCTGGCCCCTGTGAAAGTCACCATGGGAGAGTCCATGCAGGGAGCTGAAATGGAGCTGGGAAGGGCTGGCCTAATCCTGTATGTTTCTAAATGCCCCCCTACCGGGCAGGGGAGGCCAACACTGCATGCCACGCTTCTGGGCATCTTTCTGAGGCCTCGTTGCCAGGTTGTGCCGACCAAGGGGTGCCCCAGCCTGGCTGATCCCAGCCCTTTGGGACTGGAAAGGCTGCTTAGTGGATAATCGGAATGATAAATCGTGCTTCTCCTCACTGCTGTGCACATGCCAAAGGGACGTGTGCAGTCCTGGTGGCATTCGTATGGCTGGCTCGGAGAAAATTACTCATCAGGGAAAGTAACAACGGTAGTTAAAATGTATACTCCACGCTGCCGCCGAAGAAGTGTCGACTGAACATTTGGAGAGAGAGGGTTTCTTTGTGACATCGCAGTAACGACGTCAGACAGACCATTACAGCATGTAGTTTCCCAAGACTCGCAAATACAGTCTCAGTCATTAAGATTCAGTATGTAGTTGGAAAATCTGGGGTTTGGACTGGGAAATCATTTTCGGCAAGCTTTTGGGGTACTTTTTGTGCGGTGCAAGGGGTCCAGTTAAGCTAAGAAGTTATTCTCCCACAGACTGGCTCATCTGGCCACAGAAGCTCTTACAGTGATCGCCCACCTCTCCTTTGTTCTTTTCGTCCTTGTAGGCAATGGATTTGGAAGTCCCTGTGTTGGCAAGGAACATCCCTGGGAACGCGGCAGTGGTGAAGCACGAAGTTACAGGATTGCTGTTTTCCGACCCTCAGGTAAAGGAGAGTAATTTCCCCACGTTCACCTGGTCTGAGTAGCTTTCGTCTGTGTGCGGGTGATCAAGATTCTGTGATTTGCGTCTTTGTGATTAGCTCTTGGCGTTCCCTTTATAATCAGTAGGAGAGAGTGTGCAGCACTGTGTCACCGTTGTCACGTGGGCAGCTGCCTGGACGTGTCACTAAAAGAAACCTAGGGACTTTCAAGAAAGTCGAGACTTGAGTTCTATTTCTGAGGCCTCTGGTGATGATCATTGTGACCTTGAGCCAGTCCCCTCCCCTCTTATATGCTTGGGTTTCTGGTTTCTTTTTTTTTTTTATTTTATTGAAGCATAGTAAATTTACAGTACTGTGTTAATTTCCGCTACACAGCACGGTGACAGTTATACATTATGTACGTATTTTTTCATATTCTCCACGATGGTTTACCACAGGATACTGAATGCAGTTCCCTGTGCGCTACAGTGGGACCTGTTTGTCTGTCCGTCCTACAGATAGTATTGGGTTGGCCAAAAAGTTCGTTCAGGTTTTTCTGTAAGATGTTACTTTTTGGCCCACCCGATAGTTTGCATGTGCTAACCCCAAACTCCCAAACAGACTTCTGGTTTCTGAAGCAGGCACTCTTCAGATAACCATCCTACACTTCCAGGGCATCTCCTGGTGTTCAGAAGACCGCCATATATCTGGTCCCTTGCAATCCTTCAAAGCAGTGTACGGAAGAGGCAGTGTAGTTGTGTTTATACACGTGTGTATCTGATACATGTGTATCTGAAATTAAAATAAAGGTGAATGCAGCTGATAGCGGGCACAGCTGGTGGAGCCAGCGTCATCTGGGGCACGCCTGTGTGCCAGGACCTCCCAGGACATGTGTGAAGGGGTTCTGGTCACAAAGTCTGAGGTTCCAAGAATGTGCCTACACTTGAAGCCCTTGGGACCCTGTGCAGGGCGTGTAGCCTGAGTCTCCAAGCTCTGTCAAGAGCTAATTATAACTCTTGCTCTTAGAGGTGTGATGTGGGCTGAAGGGGTTGATATACAGGGCTGAGCGGTGGTCACGGCACGCGGTCAGGGCTCTGGGTCCCCGTTATCGCCAAAAGGAGAGCCCATCGCTGCTGCCTACGGCTCGTGTTCGGTGGCAGCAAAAAAAGAATCTTAGGCCCATCCTTTGCTCTTCAAGTCTTTAGATTTAGAAATTAGGTTCTTGTCGCTATCATCTTTATGAAGGCACGTGTTATATAACAGAAATAAAGGGATTTATACTTAAAAGCTCGGGTCAACTCCAATATTTGAAAATGCCGTTTTTCACCTTTCCTGCCGCAGACATTTAATCCCACATCGCTTCCCCTTCCCCGTAGTATAATTATGCGTCACCTAGTTTCGCTGCCTTCTTATCACAGTCACGCGAACAAGATGGAAGCCAGCTTCCCTCGGGGAGGGGCGGGATTGCAGGGAGTCGGGCGTCACCAGGTGCTGTGTGGATGCAGCCGCTCACCTGGGAAACAACTGAAAGAGCAAAGGGCAGGCCCGGGCTTATCAGTTACTATCTAACAAAAGGCACATCTAACACGAATGCCTTTCCTTTGAATAGCGACTCCTAAAAGCTAAAACACGAAGAGTGTGCAGCGGTTCCTTGCCGATCCTCCAGACAAAGGCATATGGCTTTTTACCACGTTCTGCATCTCCCAACGTCAACGCCAGCCAAGCTGGAGGTCACAGAGTATTGTCTCCCCGTGGGCAAAGAGATTTTATTTTCATCTCCCCAAACCCAATGTCTATTTATTTTATAGCTCAATTTCAGAGCACTATAATTTTTATCAGTGAGTGTCTGAATAGCCGTCACTTATAAATGGCTGTATCGGGTCCAGTGCTAGAACGAGAGCAGTCTGGCTATCCTGACTTCATTTCACATTCCTTGTAAGGCATTCCTTTCAATATTTGCAAATAACTGTCCTATCTCTGACACGTCCAAGTTATTTCTGCGTTACCGGCTTCCTGTGAGTTACCAGACACAGTTCCGCAGCACACATACAGTTAAGGCGTGGGCTTATTTTGTTCCCAGCGCTTTAATGTTACTTTTACAAAGGATGTTACAAAAGAACAGAACGCTCTAGGGGGGAGCATCTGGGGGGAGGCTGCGTTTTCTTAACACGTTTTGAAAAGCGTGCTCGACGCGGCTGTCACACGTGACTTTGTTTTATAGTCACGAGCAGACTCGACCTAGCACGGAGTGGGAGCTGTTGCTTCAGAGCAGACATGCATTTTCCATAAGTCAGTGGCCTTGGTTACTGTCATCTAGCTCAGGAGCGCAGACGGAAGCAGCCACTGGTTTGTCGCCAGTGTTTGCAAGGTTTATTCCAAGTGTGCATTCAAATACGTATTCAAAGCTCCATTTCACTTATTGAGAAGGGACTTCCATGCCAGGGTGTCAGCCTCATAAAGTTAATGTAGATAAACGCATAGACAGATAGATACATAGATACAGACAGGCAGACATATCGAATGCAGAAAAATCATACTTTGGATTTTCAACAAAACGATGATTAAAAGTATTCAGCTGTGGTAGGAACAAAATAATCTCTATTTTTATACACCTCAGCCCCGGAAGACCTTAACTGAAGTGAAGCTTTCCAAACCTACTAAACATTGATTTTTTTTTTTTTTTTTTTTTTTTGGTTACTGCGACAGTCCCATTCCTTTTCTTTTTAAGAAGAAAAGAGCTGAGCTATTTTATGGCTACATTTTATAGCTTCGAAATTAAAATCCATTTGACATTTAATAGAAACTGTGGATCCATTTCCTCTCTCAAGGACAGACTTTTGAAGTGTGGCCCAAACTCATTTCGCTGGGAGGTTCTGTTTGTCTTTTAGGCAACCATAAAAAAAGTCGTAACTTTCGGAATAATGATGGTGACAGCTAACATTTAGCGCATGTGTGTTACGTGCCGGTGTCTGTTCTTTGCCATCAGCATGGATTTACACTTCTATTAAGACTGTTTCATTTTAAATCTTTGACTTTTGATGGTCCATGAACAGTTTAACGTTTGGAAGAAGCAAGGCGTGTTGGAGACACATCAGCCTCCAAACTTTTGTTTGGGCAGAGCTGTGCTTGGGTCTTGAGTTTTCCCCCTCGAAATCTGAGTGATCCTGGACACGTTTCTTCTTCCTGTGCTCGTTCCTTGATCCGTAAGATGCAGATAACGATGCCCGTCTTCGGGGAACAGCAGAAAGCACATGGGGTGGAGTGCCGTCCTTGGGCTCAGAGGAAAGCTGCGTGGACGCAGAGTTAATCACATTCACGGTGCGCCGCTGGGTGAAGTTGTTTGCTGCCGCTCGGGAGCTGTACGGTCTGCTGAGCTCTTAGGTTTAAGCAGTGGAATTAAGCTCAGTACAGCGAGACGTTCTCCTTGTGAAATCTGGCCAGCGTCATGCAAAATATCATTTCTCTCTTTCTTCTTTTTATTTTTTACTTAAAACAATTTTTAACTTTTTAACCAAACATGTAGAGTTCTTAGATGTTAAATACAACTGTGATGTGTAAGCCCCCAACCAGTCCCTCTGAAATGTAAAAGCACAGATGCAGGCTCGACCAGTGTTTGTTGGATTTCCATTTAAGCCCAAAGGAAACTCTGGGCAAACTCTATGTGAACTAAAATGGAAGTCAGTCCAACATTTTTTTTTTTTTTGCATGGATTTGTCCACAGGGTGACCATATTGTTCATTGTGAAAAACCAGGTACCTTTGAGAGTGAAAGGGGTGTTATTGATAATTATGCTGGGATGACGGCCATGAACCTGAACCAAATGACCTAGGTAAGGACCGTCTGCTTGAAGAGCTGGGATCAGATGCATAGCTGGTATTTGTTAGGGATCAAGGGTGCGTCCAGCCACGTAGGGGAGGCACAGTTTTCTAATAGCCACGTTGAAAGAAAATAAAAAGAAACAGATGAAATTCATATCAATAATATATTTTATTTAGCTTCATCTATCCAAACTTGCATCATCTCAACACGTAATCGATATAAACAATGTTTTTCCCCATCCCACCTGCCCGTAGAACTGACCGTTGGTTTCAGTGCAATATAAACAATTTTTAATGAGATCTTTACATTTTTTTTTTTTCGAGGCTCTGAAATCCTGCGTGTATTTTACCCACCAGCTCATCTCAGCCTGGAGATTAAATTTGTATCGAAATACTTGGTTTGCATTGAGACTCCATACCATTTGCAGCTGAAAAAGTAGATTCACGTGTGCAGGTTGTTGCAAGTATACTTGTAAAGCTTTGTAATACCTGAATCAAGCACCAGTGTCAAAATTTCAGTTTAAGTCCATTCAAGTGAATAATTTAAAATGCAGTTCCCGGGCACACTGGCCACATTTCCAGAGCTCAGAGTGGGTGCTGGGCGGCACTGCTCCCCGGAGAGGGAGCGATGGGGCAGGTGGTCCCAGCCAGGCCTCCTCTGTGTGCCGGGCACCACTATAGGGACCTTGCCTGTTTCTCTTACGAATCCTCACGGGAACCCCACACAGGTGTTACTGTGATGATCCCAGAGAGGGTGAGGCATTTACCTTCGAAGCTCAGCGGGAGATGACAGGGCTGGGACTCGAGGTCTCAGCCTGATGGGTGCTCGGCCACCCCTGAGAGCGTTTGCACGATTCCTCGTGTGGCTGTCTCTCCCTCTGTCTCTGTCTTTCCTTCTTTCTCTGTCTCTGTTTTTCCCTCTATCTCTGTATGTCTCTGTCTCTACCTTTGTCTCTGTCTCTCACTCTCTGACTCTCCCTCTCTCTGTCTTTGCATCTCTCTCTCCTTCTTTCTCTGGCTCTGGCTCTGCCTGTGTCTCTGGCTCTCGCCCAGTTTTCTGTGCCTGTCTCCCCTCCTCTCTGTGTCTCTTTCTCCCATCTCCATCTTTCCTTCTTTCTTTATCTCCGTTTGTTTCTGTCTTTCCCTCTATTTCTTTCTCTCGCCCTCTATTTGTGTCTCTCTCGGTGTCTGTGTCTCTCCCTCTGT